GTCCGCTCGCGGCGGCTCACCACGACTGGCCTGGATCCGGAGTCCGGAAGGCCGGCGCGGCGCGCGGGGCTGCGTCCCGTAGGCTGAGGCCGCGTGACTGGGAGGGCGGCGAGCCGGACGTGGGTCACGGGGTGTAAAGGAGGAAGTGCCACCGACGGGCCCGCCAAGATGTCACCAATGGAAACGCGTCCTGCAGGTGCGGCCCCGCAGCCCGCGCGGTTGGCCAAGGCAGGAAGTGGGAGGAGGGAAGAAAAGCAACGAGGAAGACTTTTCTGAGTTCACAGGAAAGGTGCCAGTGTGGGGAAAAGTCCAGAGTACCAGCGGGGAGGGCGGGCAAGGTTATGTGGAAGGAGAAACCGTAAAACTTAAAGGAAAAAACCCATCTTTGAAGGCAGGAAGAATTTAGAATGGGAACTAGTGGGTATAGAGGAACAAGAGCACCTTCTTTTGTAGATCTGACCAGACTCGTCAATAGTTTGCAATTTTTAAAAGATTAATTTTAAAACACAGAACTATATACCTAACAAGCAATTACATTTCATGAACCTCTAAATCCTAATTTATATAAACACACTAGAAAACAATTACAAGGCAACTGCAGTAATGTAAGCAGTGACTTAGTTATTTTATATCAGGAATTATAAACTGTAACTGAAAAGACAAATGAGCCAACCCTTCAACAAACCATGAATAAAATTAAGAGTTTCATCAAGGACATATCTGGATCTTGATTTAAGCAAACTGGTAAACATTTATGGGACAATTTAAGAGATATTTGAACAATGACTAGAAATTAGCTTTTAAAGCATATTATTTTAGGTATGACAGAATTGTTATGTTTAAAAACAAAAGATTACTACTTAGAAATGCATTTTGAAGTATTTGTGGATGAAATGGTGTGTTGGCTGGGGTTTGCTTCAAAATTATCTAAGTAGATGGGGAATGTAGAGAAAAACTGTCCCTAACTGGTTAACTGTTGAAGCTGGGTGATAGGATTCAAAATCTAGCCATCCCATGGAAAGTGAGAGACACTAAAAACTCACACCTTCAACATAAGGTAAAACAATCTGAAAAAGTCTGTGCAAAGAATATGTCCACAGAAATGGGTACCTTGACTGCTTCGCAAGCATTTATTTCACTTCTTAAAATCCTCTTCAAAGTATATATTTGGTGGTTTATATGACTGGCATGCATTTTCTCACTTACTGTATTTGAATGTATTTGTTACAGTTAAGTAGTTTTTACACGAGTCTTCTTGGCTTAACTGGTTGGTGACACCAGCAAGACGAGTGTTAATAATTGATCAGTCACGATAATGGTTCCTGCCAGTGAAGGAACAACAAGTACAGAATACACCAGGTAGCCTGCTGTGCGCTAAGACAGAAGGCACCTGAAAACACTTGCAATAAACAACAATGGTTTGGTATTTTTGGACTTGATTTAAAGGCCAATGGGAAGTAATGTAATTGTTTCAAAATATATAATGCATTACAAAATGCATTCTGTGTTTTGCTTTCAACTGAACAGTCCAGCTGCTGTCTGGAAAGTGAATGGTGAGAACAGATGCATGGGAAGGAATTAGACAAGTTTAGGAAGAACTAATGGTACCCTGCAACAGAAACATTGTGGTGGAAATTGAAAAATGTGAATGGATTTGAGTGATGTGCAGTAGATAAAATTAACCAAACTAGAGTCACTCATTAACCCAGATATATTGTGCACTTACAAGAAGCAGGTCCACAGAACAGTGAACAGTAAAAATAAAGGAATTAATTTTTAGAAATTCACTCTGACGTATTTGTGGATGAAACAGTGTGATGGCTGAGACTTGCTTCAAAATTATCTGAGTGAAGTACAGGGGGGATGTAGAGAACTGTCCATAATTGGTAATCATTGGATCTGGGTGATAGGATTCAAAATCTAGCCCTTCCATGGAAAGTGAGAAACAGACAAAGAAATGTCTAATGACAAATTCTGAGATAAACAAAAACTAGAAAATGAGAATTTACATTGGTCTTCTGAAGAAGTGACATTTAAACAGACCAGAAGCAATGCAGAAGAAGGAACATGAAACTCCATTCCATCCCCCAATCCCTGGCCCCAACAGCTAAGGTTTCAAAGTAGAAGTCAGAAGACGGTACTTTTATTCCTTTGCATATTACCCTTCTTATTCTCCCTGATGTTTGTTCAAATTCTTTATAATGCAACCCTTTGCCAACATGTTTTGGTGTTGTATAAATATTTTTATTTTGTGGAAAATCCTTTTAATCTTTATATTCCGTTCTTATTAAACCCACAAGAGAATTTTAGATACATTTCTGCTGCTCATATTTGTTTTCCACTTGAGCAGATAGTTATGAAAAAGCAGCAATTCCCTCTCATGGGATAGTATGTGAGCAGAACCCAGACCCCTCTGTTATGTTTTCGGGCTCTACTACAAATTACATTGGAAACGTCAAAAGTCTCTTCCAACCCAGCAATTTTATAAAGTCTCAATTTAGTTGCTTTTAAATATTTCTTGCTGTCAGGAATTAACTTGAGAATATGATGCAGGTCTGGACCAACTTCTAAAAAAAAAAAAAAAAAAAAA